AAAATTGTAAAGAAAAAATGACTAACTTTTGAATATTAGCATTATGTATATGCAAATTTTTAATGTTTTTATAGCATAGCTTATTAATATTTAAATTCAGATCTCATATATATCTAGATATAAAACATTTAGCAGCCAAAATGAATATGACAATATTAGCAAAATTAGAGTCATATTTCCGATTTACATTACAAATTGTAAGAAATCCGAATCTATCTAATAAACAATTTAAGACTTCAGCTCAAATCTTACTATCATACTGAATTAGAACAATCAGATGTCATTCTTGCACTTGGTCAAGTTATCACTATAATACTAATCTATCTCTTGACCAATCGAGAGATTACTAAAAAATCACATCTAGCTTGTCTCTCCATGAAGAATGAATGCAAGCAGTTCAGAATAGAATTGAGATTTCACAAGACATTGATTTTCATGGCGGAACGGTTAGAAGCTTACGTTAAAATTTGGAAGTTACAGTCAAATCTAATAGGCTTAGGTATTTGATCGATTGCCTTATTTTTTCTCGAACTTTATAGAATACACAGAATATGAAGACATTCGATATGGTCAAATACTATTGCATCTACTGATTCCGGAACGGTGCTATCCATAAATTCATTGGTTCTACAAAAGTTTGACAGATGTATTAATTTATCACCTGCTTGTGTATTCTTACAAATCTCCACAATTACATTTGCCAAGCTTCCATCACTTGTCTTTTACTTTTCATAATAAGCTCGTATGCTGTGATATATTTTATTGTAATGGAAACTTTTACGTGTAATGACGTGGGATTCCCGCTAAAATATTAGCATACCTCAGTTACTGTGTGTATAAGCGCATTTATTGCTCTGTGATTAAACAAGTCTTTTAGTAAAAATGTGTTGCTTCATTTGTCTGTTTGTAATTTTCTATCAAGAACAAAATTTGCATATTAAGCTGGAATCTTTTTTGTTGCCAACTTTTGTACTTCCTAAATTTGTTAGCAATTAGTGTTAGGTAAGGAAAGATGTGAAATGAGCTTGTTTTCTCAGTACATTAAGGTTGCGTATTTAGAGTGTTGTTTGCTGCGCACATATTCGTTTTTTGAGATGCTTCTTGAATTCAAAAGTGTTGTGGGAAAAAGATTAAAAGAAAGTTAAGATTCTTTCTTGTATTTTTTCTTTCAGTTGTTACGTCGTTGCAGTTCAAGTTGCAGTTGAATTCAGTGGCAGAAATGGCTTCTTCTGAAGAAAGCTTGAAGGAACTTTGTGAACAGTACGATCGAGACATAGCTGAGACTGAAATGGATATCACAATTAATGTAAACTTTTTAATGTATTGATTTATTGATTTATTCACTTTTACACGTCTGTATTCATATAGAAAAACAAAGACGAGTTGCATGCAATAATGATTGGTTTCTTAGATATAGTAATCAATTATCGAAATAATTACCTAAATATGGTGATATGGAACTTTTGTTTTCTGCTTTCATATATTTTGTGTGCTTGGAAATTATTTCGAGTTTCTGTTAATTATTAAGCAATAATAATCAATTGTAATTTTATTTACTAGATAATAGCTGTTATTTTTGTTCAAGATCAAAATTCAGTCCTTTTAGAAAAAACTTCTTGATATGATAGAAACAGATTGTAAAAGTACCGAACAGCAAATGTTGGCAATTGAGCGAAGGACTGAAGCATTGAAAAAGCAATTGGAGACGGTTGATGCAAATATTGATAAACTTGTTATAAGGTTAAGCTTTTTATGCTTAAAAGTATATTTCCAGTAGTGCAGGAAACTTTATTTTTTTTAACCTTCGCAGTTTTGGACTAAGACATTAACCGGAATAGTTTCAGTGTCAGTTCTCAAAATGAGAAAGTTGACAAGTTATACCATAGGCAGCAACAAGTTGCTCATGAGATTTGTAATGGTGAGTTAAATTTTGCATTTATAGACAACTGCGCTCTTTAGAAGTTTGGCTATTTAAAATGGTAAATTATGATATTGATTTTAGTTATAACATAACCGTAATTATCCTTCATTTTAAATGATGAATTAAAAATAGTTACGGCCATTTTAGAGCTGAAATTAGTTATTTGATTTGGTGGAGTGGTTTTATTATTGCAGTCACTCTTATAAATATTATTATTGGTATGGCTGTACGCACTTCTATAAATCATATGAAGCTGTAATCTCATGAGTTTTTCTGACTTGAATTACATTTGTGTCAAAAGTCATTGTGGAGTTTAAATATTGATAGATTCATGTGACGATTATGCTTTTAAAATCCATAAATTGTAAAATAATAATTTATATATAAGTTAATAGGCATAAACAGTGGAGAAACTTTCTAAACGATATATCATAATTATTATTAATTACACTGAGTTTCTTTGTTTTTGTGTCATAAGGTCCAAAATATTTCATAAATTAACTAAATAGCATCTTTATGCGGAAATCATGTTATTTAAGTTATATATAATAAATGATTTGTTAGTGTTTTTGTTAATATTGTAAGTAACTCTGATAGTTATTTTGAAGTCTCTCATACTGTGGCAATTTGAATATCGAAAAAGGTGAATTCACGTCAAATACTTTTGTACTTTCAGCGCGACATTCTCTGCAATCTGCTCAACGTGTAGCTCTCAGTAATATGGAGACACTACAGTCTATTGAAGAAGAGGCTGTTAAATACTTGGGAAATGATTTTAATGCATCGAGTCTTGGAAGTGGTGAGAAAAGTGATGTAAGAAGCGTTTTGTGATCATATTCGTTCATAAATTAAAAATATTTTTCAGTTGCTTCTAAACTACAAGATTGTCAGAAGGTTTGTGGAGCACATATAAATCAATCAGCTGATATCGTGACTACGCTGGTTCGTTAATACGATCTTTATTTCAAAGAATTTTATCGCAATAATGTCTCGGATTTGTGTTTCATATTATGTGGTTAACATTATCTAATTTTATTTTGAAGATTTCGTGAATGAGTAATCGATATTCTTTGCTTAATTTATATCATCATTTTAAGTATTTATAACACTTCCAATTTATTAATCAAGAATGCTGTTCAGATGTCGGCACTGGACGATATCAACGCCTTGGAAAATATCGAGAAAAATATTGAGGAACTAACAATGAAAGCTGCGATTTTAGAAGCACGCAATAGTCAGTAACAAATAGATTCATAAAGTTTGCAGTGAATCTTTATCGATGCAAACATGATAAGATTTTAATTCAGAGGAGGCTGATACTCTTTGTTTAATGTGGCGTGAAAAGTTGTTCAAATTAGAAGCGGATCAGAAAAAGGCAAAGGAACTAAAAGCTGCTGCATCAGACAAGTTTGAGCAGTGTAAAAAACGTACAGCCGATCTAAAGCGACGAATTGATGACAGTATAAATGAAGATAATTCGTTATCAGAGACTTTGAACTTTAAAAAACTCGAAATAGTTAGTTGTTACGACCTTTTTGAAGATAGCTGTCAGGATAAAATTTTTGAATTAGATTTACATTGAACTTTTTTTTTTGTTTTGAACATGATTAAATCATTCTGTGCATTAAAAAAAGAACAATTCTTTCGATTCAGTAACTTCTGTCGTTACAGAATGAGAATATGGAACGTTTGAGCAAGAAATACGCTGATCTTGAAGCTGTTCAAGAAAAAATTGAAATGATAAGAGAAAATTTGTTTGATGAAGATAGAGCTTTAAAACTAGAACAAGAAAGCCATGATCAGAAAATGCAGCAAATTAAGGTTTCTCAAAATACATCCTCATTGTTCGCAGTGCTTGTGTAATCACCTTGTTCTGTCCTGTCACCTAAAAAACAGGCTCATACTTTCGTGTGTTCTCTGTATTCTGCATGAAAATTTCAATCTTGGTATTTTATTTTTCGTTTAATCACGGAGTTTTTTATTTTTTAATTGTTCGAAATGCAGGATAATGGTGAAAAAGAAATTTTTGCTGCAAATTCAGCTTTGATGGCTTTGCTTGGGAGTAAAACCAAAATTTTTGATGAGGTTAATGATTAAAATCGTCAGCATTTATTTTTCATTAGCATAATTAACAGAATACGTAATACATAATTAACTAAGAAATGTATCACAATTTTTCTAATTGTTTCCTTTACCTTCAAGTAATTAACAGAAATTATCAGATCCTTAAATAATAGTTGATAATAATCTGAGAACTATTAAGATTGAAAAAGGCCGTAATAATCTTAAAAAGAAGTCCGAATGGGAAGCGCATAAAAAAGTTATTGAAGAAATGAAACAAACTATTGAAAATTTGAAGCAGGAGAAGATGCAGCTTCAATCTGATCTAAACGAGAAAGAAGATCTCAGAGATTTGCAGGCTAGAAATTTCTTATTATATTTATAAATTCATATTAGTTTTCTGCAGATTTAGTCAATTAAACTTGCAGGAATACAAGAATGAGGCACAGAGATTTTTTATGCTTCTTTATGCTTACATAATCATGCTGAGTTTTGTCAGTTAGTTTAATTTCAATAGCAGGTCAGTAGGTCTCAAGTTCTTAATATTTTAGTTAGCTGAAATGGAAGCTATGAAATCTGGTTGTGCGAATAAAGAGCAAATGTTGGAAGAACGTACATCATTATTAGCGCAGATGAAAAGCATAAACGAAAGAATCATGGAAATAAGGCGAAAAATAAACGTGAGTTTGTTTGTTTATTTCATAAGCGGTGTGAAAAAAATGTTTGTGAGGAGTTATTTTTCCGAAGTTACAATATTCTGATATTCAATTCGAACATCGTGCTGTTTTTATTATTGAGGAATGAAGTAGAAATATATAAAACAAAGAGGTTGCTTATTTTTAGTAAGGTATTGCTGATTATGAATCTTATTTTTTTTACAGAATGAAGAGGAGAACATTATAAAAAAAGCCAAAAAAATGGAGCCAAAGATTGGAGCTAGTAACAAGGGTAAAGGTTTGTGTTCTCAAAAAAGCAATGCAGCAAAAAGAAAGAAATGTGGTGGAGATGGTCAAAAAGAAAATTTTACTACAAACATGGGAGTTTCAGTGGTCAATTCCCACTTGGATACTGAAGAAAGATCACAACTTTCTCAATATGTAACATATTCATATTATCTCATTTTCCCTTTTTTTCCTTCACTTGACTATTTTGAGATAATGCAAAAAAAAAATCGTACTTATTTGCCAGAATGTGGCAGTTAACTTGGGTTATTTTTTGATTGAAAGTAGTCTGTGCTTGAATCTGAAACAATATTGGATCTTTTTTCTCTTTCAGTAATCACATGCAGTAGTTTAGGATTCTTTTTTGAAAGATCGAAATTTATTCATGAGCATAATTTGTAATATTATTAAGTTTTATATTCTTGAATAAGATAAGCAGGCAACTGAAAACGCAGATGGAGCTGGAAACCAAAATAGTTATGAAATTGGTTCTCCGGAGAACGAAGAGGTTGTTGAATGTTTGCATGTTATTCACTAAACTTTTACTGATTCGAGATAAAATTTGAGATTGACAACTTCCTTTGTATTATATACCTCTCTGTCACTACAGTAATCTTTAAACTATTCATCAAATTTTCAGCAAAATTTAGTTTCTGTTATACCACAGGAACAAGAAATCAGAAGTCCGTTTATGCAGTACATGACTTTCCGAAAAAGTAACAAAGCGGGAATATCGAAATGGAAAAAAAATGGTAAATGTTTCATGTAAACTTCCAGATTTTTATAGTTTTTGGATTTATGGGAGCATTAATTCAAAAAAAAATTTCTGAAAATCTTCAAACTATTTCTAGATGTGCAGTCGACGGCAAAGAACGCACAAATAGATTCTCATGCTTCAGTGAATAGTACTTTGAAATCAGGTCAATCTAAAAAAGGGAAAATAATCCGTAAAAAGCAAGAAATGGACCGAAAATCTCCGTAAAGCAACTTTCGTTTATTTTTGTCGAAATTGCATTTGTTTAAATTATAATGCGATTATTTCCCTGTAGCATTTTGGTTTTGAAATATTAATTTTCATCAAGATGAAGGATTTTCTGAGTAACTTAAAACTTTCTTTATTCAAATTTGCTGCAAGCGTTCATGTTTTTGAGGCATTTGACTTCTGCACTTTTTGGTAGTGATATATCTGCAAGCACAATTCAACCCGTTTGTGCATCAACTCCGATGCGTGATAAGTTAGTGATGAATTCGATCCATTTTTATGTATGAGAACTTGTTTGCAGAACTTTTAAGGAGGCGCAGTCTAAATATTATTTTTCTAAGTTTAAATATATTTCAAAAAATCTTGGAACTTTCAGCAAATGTGAGTCTACTCGAATTGATGATTGTACCGCAAAAAGCAACAAGTCTGGCTCTAAGAGTAACCAAAAAACACGTGGGAGACCAAGAGGACAAAAAGTGAGTTTTTCCTGTATGATATGGGCTCTTTCGCTTTAAAAACACTAAATAAAGATATTTAGAATCCAACCGGAAGTGGAAAAATAGCAAAAGAAACGGATGTCTTCGATTTTAGCAGTGATTCTGTTTGATTTTCTTGGTAAGTGTTTTACTTGTATCGACAAATTTGCAAAAAACATGATTTTCATTGTTCATTTTGAAGTTTTTCAAATATTAAAAATTACTGTACCTCATACTACCTAGATCAGCATTTTAATTGTCATGCTTGAGTACTTTCGAACTTTTGTAAGACGTTGTGTCATTTGGGTGTACATCCGCTTGCATTATGTCATGGATGGGTACAGAACATGTTAAATTTTTTAATTTATGGGAAAGTTTTCGACTAATTAAAAATTAATTATTGCAGATTCTACTAATTTCAAACGATACTTTTTAATTTCAGGAAGATATCGTTAATTATAAAGATGAAATCATGTTTCGTAGAGCTGTTCTGGACATTTTATCATTTGTTGTTTCAAGTTTTTCAAGGAAAATTAAAATTTCTTATGCGTTTAAAGATTGTTCCAAGTTTTATGTGAATTCCTATGCATTCTAAGCACTTGTTAATCTTTTATGTTAAATGAATTTTCAATAAATGATCTGTCACATAAAACTCAGTATTTGTCAGTCTTATAACTAATGCATACGAAACTGTCTGAGCATTCAAGCGTACTGTTCATGTTTCAGAGAACTCTAAATGTAACCAAATTTCATGGGTATTTACTATAACCATGTAGTAGTTTGACATCGCAGTCTTGTTAGGTCTCTCAAACAAGCTAGTATTTTGAAGTTATAAAATTTGACAGGTTCTTGATCTGCATTCTCTTGCAGGGATGTTTTTTTATTCGAGTCAATATGAAGCATATGGTAGATCAGCAAGTCAGGGGTCACAGCTAAGGTTGATTTTGATAGTATTAGCAGCTTTAAGCTGCCAATTGTTTGTAATGATTTTCGAATTGTCAAGAACAGTAAACACTGGTCTGTATTTATTCCTCGTCCGACTATGGCAAGTATTTGTTTTCACGCAAAACTTTTGCAAAAAATCTTCAAGGGCACAATACGCTTTTTATCAGCCATTTTTCATGTGATTCTTACCAGAATTGTCTCTGTTTTGTTTGGAAATACGTTTGCAGAAGTTTCCTCCTCAAATGATTGCTTGTGAATAGCGAATAGTAATGATTAATATTGGAGAGCTTTATAATTCTAGGAGAAGCGCAGATTCAGAAATCGTAAATAAATTAAAAGTAAAGGAAAGAAATAAGTCTTATATAATTATACGTAGGGATAGAAATTTAGTAGTATAAGTTTTGCGTGCCGATTTTACTGGTTTGAAAACAAGCATACTCCGCAGGTACAAATAGGTTCGTTTGGATTTTCTGCTTTTAAATTTGCATATAGATAGATGAATGTAAGGTTAATTAGTATCAAAGATTATTAGATTTTTATTAAAAATTCGTTATCTCATTTAAAAACTGAACCAACTCATAACATTTAGATTTCACTTATAGTCGTTTCTTTTTTTGGCTCTTGAAAATATTGAAAAGTGTTAGTTAGTAACGTCAAAAGTTTTAAGATTCATAAAGTATCCAATTTTTGTATCAGCTGATCCAAAAAATCATGGATTTGTGTTTCTGATGCAGGGCAACGCGTCTTTCGGAATAGGCTCTGAAATGGGTGAACTTGAAAAAGTTTGATGCAACATTGACGTTCAAGAATTGAGTACTCAAATATGCCTTATCTTCAGTATTTAAAAATTCATAGTCTACACTGGAGATTCTAAGGATTTCATTTTGAGAGATAATTCATTCAAATTAGCCTCTTAGAGTGTAAACTTAGTCCGAATAGCAAGATCTACATACCAATATGTAACGCCGTTTTTCAGATTCTGTACTGAGATCAAGAACTGCATCAACATCGATATCAATTTCATCCTGAATCGAAAAGTCTTTAAATTTATCCTCTCAAACTTGAAGCCAACTTTCCACTTAATCTTTTCTGACCTGCTTCTAACATTGTTGATATTAAGATAATAATTCATAGTTGCGATGAGTTATTATTCATAATTGCTGATAAAAAAACCGCTGTTTCCTTAAATTAAATTTATATAGTAATTTAAAAACCGAGTAATTTGAAGGTTAAACAAATTAGGGAAAAAGATGGTAACTGAAATCTTGATTTGACATAATATTATGGTACTGGTTTATAGATTTGATCTTATGTCTATGTCCTAAGTGATTTCCTTATAACTAAATTCATTTATGTATTTTGCAAAATATTTTCAAAGTAATTATCACAAACTGAGATTACCGTCGAATCGTTATACAGCTCATTTAATTGATCATTAATCCAATTTTCTACATTCATACGTTTTCTAATTAGCATCATTTGATGCTTACCGTATTTCATCGTAAGTACGCGACTTCTTTCATTATTCTGTAATTATTATTCAGTTAGACAAGTTCCGAAAATATAATAAATTCGTATATATTTCCATAATTAATTTTATTATAATATCTTTGCTGTTGATCGCAGATTTTAAAACTAAAAGCTATTATAAGAATAGCTTTCAAAATTTTGTAAAAAGTATTTGATTTAAAAACTGCAAATGTCATTTTCATATCTTCGAACCTAAAAACTTGTTGAAAATTTGGAATCCTAAATATTTCTGAGAGCTGAAATT